AATGCTCATATTTTGCCCTGAACAGTTGAAAACAGTCCTTTTCTTCCTAGTTGTTACAGTTATTCCATCTTTAATTGCAGTGGTATCATTAAAAGTTCAAAATTCATTGTTTAAATTTTGAACCAGCCTGGTTTGTTGAGTTTATGGCTCCTATTGTACCATTTTGGGCCATAATAGGATGCCTAGGCCTTTTTTTTTTTTCGCCCGCCCGCTCCATTATTTTTCTACAAAAATCCGTTAACCAAGAAATGAAATTGGTGTGGCCTAAGAAAACTTAAAAAACTGAGTTGAGCTACGTTAAAAGAAAGTCTAAACTTCATTGTGGAATGTACCAACACAGATGAGCTTTCATGATAAGAATGACTTTTCTCCATCCTCCTGCCCACCTGTATCATCCTCCTGCCGTATCTCCTCTTCAGCTGCTGGTACCTGACGTTGTACCTGTCGATGGGTACCAGCTCCTGGACCCTCCTTCTGTTGCCCTTAGCAACCGTCTCCTCCGACCACTTGGCTATCTTGGGAAGCAGGTGAGAACAAAGCCACCTGTGGGAAGGTGGGTAAATCACTTTAGCAATAAAAAAAGGTCCTGTTCCACTCTGTACAGAGCATAGGGGCGGTGCCCATCTCCATTTCTGCAGCCCTTGGGCCACACAGTTGTGCAAGCACAAAAGCAGGGGGCTGGTAGCATGTTATGTGTTTGAGCTTCCCATAATTTTCTATTTCTGTTTGACGATAAACCGGATAGTGAGTGTGAGTGTTTCTCATAGATAATACATGTAAATAAAAGGTGCACATGCACCCTGTACTTCCAGCCCTGTGAACTGATATCACCAGGGTTCCAAAGTCTCTACAACTGAAAGGTGCATCTTACTTTGTGGTAGGGCTGCAGATGCCGTCATCATTCGGACTGTGTGCATCAGCGCCCCCTGTGCTGCAGTTCCCGCCGCTGTGTACAGAAGCACTCGCCTCTGGTGGGCTCAGGATGTCTAGTGCAATACTGCAGAAAAACAAACAAACAAACAGACAAACAGACGGTATGTACAGTGTTTACAGGTCCATGGCCAAGAAATTTTCCAAGCTCTCTTCGACAAACCAGTAATAAACATGCTGACCACAACTGGACATCTCATCCTAAACGACTGGGACCCTTTCCAGTAGTGTGCGTGCGGAGTGAGGAACAACTGCTGGGATTCGAACTCCCAACCTCTTGGTCCTTAAGCAGGGATGCTAACCACTGGACTATACCCACCACATTTTAGACACATAACAGGTGACTATCACCTCTTCAACATGACAACCCTGAGACCAGACTGTAAAGTTTCAACCACTCCTACCAGGAAGAACCCTACTCTTTTTGATAAGTATGATGGGATTTTTAGCATGCTCGAGGTGTGGCTATTACAAACACAGGTTAGTCACACAAACCTTACTTAAAGCAATCTAGGGTGAGTAATTACGAGTGACGTACGTTTTCCCTGTTCGGCTGTCGTCTTCAGAATCAGAGTAGACAAATCTGTAGGACTTAAAGCTCAGCTCACTCCCACTGTCAGGGTCATCAGGTCGGCTGACCCCCAGCGGGACGAACCACGCACGGGTCTGGGGGTGATCTACAACAGTAACATGGGAAACAAGGCAGTCAGAGATGGCAGACTTCACCCCCCCATCCATACAACAGGTACAAGGCAGTCAGAGATGGCAGACTTCACCCCCCAATCCATACAACAGGTACAAGGCAGTCAGAGATGGCAGATTCACCCCCTTACCCCCACACACAAGACAATCAGAGATGGCAGGCTTCACCCCCTTACCCACACACACAAGGCAGTCAGAGATGGCAGACTTCACCCCCTTACCCACACACACAAGACAATCAGAGATGGCAGACTTCACCCCCTTACCCAGACTTCATCCCCTTATCCAGACACAAAAGGCAGTCAGAGATGGCAGACTTCACCCCCTCATCCATACAACAAGTACAGGCAACAAGGCAGTCAGGGATGGCAGACTTCACCCCCTTTCCCCTTCTACCCAGTCACTGTCAAAAAGTAGTGGATACTACCTGAAATGTCCGACCATTTCTAAACTCTACCCAGTTGCTGGAGTAACTGTTTTCTTGTGTAACTTGATATCATCTCACCCAAAACAATGACCTCTCTGACGACCTTTGCCCTCTCCAGTTGCCGTGGTAACAGGTCCCTGACGATCAGTTCCAAATCGTCTGCCTCTGCTTCTTTCCTTCCTTCCATCTTCAGCGCTTCCAGTCTCTTCTGCAGCCTTCCTTCTTCTGATGACTCCTCAGCCAAGAGGGCCCTGGTGTGAGAGTGTGCGAAGAAAATTAGCCAAAGGGCCCAGAAAAAAAAATTCTGTGTTTCCAGTTTCAGTCCTGAAAAAATTAGGGTCGGTAGGTAGGCATTATTTTTTTTCTTTCTTTCTTTTTTTATTAGACTTTGGCAATCGCTACGTAGTGATTGAACTTATACCATACAGTTTAACAAAGTAAAACTTGCATGAGGACACTTATATTTTCAATGTCAGTGTTGCAAAGCCGGTTGTACAGCTTTTCATTACTCAGGTGTTCGATCATGGAGCTTAAAAAGGTAAAAAAAAAGGCTAGGGTTGGCAGTTTTTTCTAGGGTCATCGGGAAACAGGAAACACAACATTTTTTCGTCTAGGCCTAAGAAAGAATTTATACTTTAGTGTAAAGCATTTTGCACCACCACGATTACTCAAAGCAACTGAAACTGCTCTTAGTCCAGAGGCAGGATCGGATTGATTGCTAACTACATTTGTACATTTGTACATTTGTAATATCAAAATTACTAACTTTGGGTTCTGCAGAAGTGTGCTGATGACCGCGCCGTTTGTCCAGATTCTGGCCAGCTCCTTCGCGCCGGTCAGTCGCCGGTTGACCACGTGGGGCTTGTCCACCCAAACGGCCACACCGCTCCAGAAACCTTGAACTTGGGCGGCGGTCGGTAGAGCAGCGACGCGCGTGACTATCGCTTCGGGAAGGAACTCGCGCCCCGACATGTCTGCAGTGTATTGACAGGCTAGGCGGGACTGTTACCTGTAGGAAACTGCACCTGAGGGAAGATATTAAACATGAATGAAGTACATAAGAGGGTCTGTTTTGTAAGGCCAAACCAGTTTAATTTGTTGGGTCTCTGATTTTTTCAGAAAAAATATGAAGAGACAGGGAAAAAAAAAAGCAGGTCTAGGCATCCTATTGTAGCCCCAAATGCTACAATAGGAGGCTGGGTCAATATTTAAACAATGAATTGTGAACTCTTAATCAAACCACTGCATTAATAGATTTTTTTAAAAAACTGTCTCTTCACTTTAGAATAGTGATTACGCAACCCAAAATGGAACACGAGCAACTACTGCCACTGCGATCACAAAGTGGTCCCTTGATTTAAAAAATGGTGGTAAATGGCATAAATTAAAAGATTTTCCATAAACCGTCCTCACCTAGAATTACGTGGATCTGATGAACACTGGAAATCTCTCAAATTTCAGCTGAAATTCCGTAAAATCTGTTTAGTAAGAGCAGACGAATTTTCAGGTGCAGCGAAGTGACGCCATCTTCCTCACCTTTGACCGTGGCAGCAAAACGCGAAAAAAAGGAATTACCTCTCTTTACTAAGTAATGCTGTTTTGTGCACATAAAGAAGATTTTAGTGTTAATATATGCATTGTTTAAAAGTTATCAATTTGTTTCTGCAATATTATATCTTCTACTTAATAATCTAAAGGAACTAACAGTGTTTAAGTAGGATATTTTGGGCTGTAGCGTTTGTGACCGCACTGGCGCCATTTTTGATCCGAGGGGTCAGGGGACAAAAAGTCGTCTGAAAAGTTTCACACACAGAAAAACGCCTGAAAAAGACAATTTTCGGCGGTTTTGGAGTACTGTTTTCTGTCAGCAAAGATGTGCCTGTCGTGTGGGGACGGCGTGAGACTGATCCCGCTGCTGTGGATGCTCACTATGCCCATGTACGGGTCGTTTTTGGGTCCGGAGCCGGTCCTAAGGTTGTCCCTCATGCTGATGCTTCATGCAGCAGTCGGGGCGGCGCTACCAATCGGACTGGTGAGGGCTTGTTTGTTTGTTTGCTTGTTTGTTTGTTTGTTTGTTTGTTTGTTTATTTGTTTGTACGTACGAGTCGTCCATGTACCCCGTTGTCTAGGGGGACCAACCAGATTCTAACTTCAAAATCTTACAAGTACTGAAACAAAGATATTATTATTTTTCTGATACATTAGGCCATGTTGATTTGATTATATGGATGACATCCTCTGGGAACCCCAAAACTGATGCGAGCGTGCGAATAAAAAAAAAGTTTTGCAAAAAAAAAAAGTTAGCTTTCACTATGAAATCTACGTGGTCATGAAGGTTGAACAAATGGCACAGAATATGTTATGGCGAATTATCTACTCTTCGAATTCATTTCTTTACATTTTTGTCTTTTTCCTTTGATTTGG